ACAGAATATAGAGATTTAATTCAATTTTTTTGAAAAGTGCCATGATTTAGTTACCCTCTTTTCTGCAGATAAATATTTATTTCCTTTTATGCATTTATAAACACTGCTGCAATAAGCATCTTTGTTCATGTACCTATGTGCGTATATATGAAAGTATGTTCATGGGAAAAATTCCCAGGAAGAATTAATGAAATTCCTAATGTAGGTTAGATACGACCTACTAGGCCCCATTCTGTAAGAGATACTTCTCTTTACCTGTATCTTTTGAGCCTGAGCAACTCAAATTTTAGAGGAGTTTATCATATTTGAGGTCCTCCTTAACAAAGTCTGAAACTCCCTGAAAATTGTGGGTTTTTTCGCCTTTTTATCTGATAATTTTTAATTGGTACTTTAAACAGAAACAAAAATTATCATTGTATTGGAATTATGAAATTAATGAACTAGGTACAATTTATGAAAGCTCCTGGATACTTGGGTCCCCCGAGAGAGAGTCACATCTGGGCCTGTGCTGAGGCTGTTTCTGAGTGTAGCTCCATGTCTGCCATTCGTGGTGTTCCAGGCCAGCCTAGTTTCTAAAGTGAGGGGCTGTAATGAAATACTAGGTTAAGATGGGCAGAGCTATTTATCGCGTGGAATATGGAGAGTGGCATCTTCCTCTTGCTTCTTACCAATAATAGCAACGTTAGGACATTGCTTAGCTCATGCTGTGGACTGAGTGCTTGTGTCCTCTCAAAATTCCTATGGTGAAACCTTAACCTCCAATGTGATGGTTTTAGGAGGCTGGCCCTCTGAGCAGAGATTAGATCATGAGGGTGGAGCCCTCACGAATGGGACTAATGCCCTTATAGAAGAGACCCCAGAGAGCCCCCACACCTCTCTTACCCCATGAGAACACAGCGAGAAGATGGCTGTCTATGAACCAGGAAGCAGGCTCTCACCCAACACTGAATCTGCCAGCATCTTGATCTTGGTCTTCTCAGCCTTGAGAACTGTGAGAAATAAATTCACGTTGTTGCCTCTCTCTGTGGTATTCTGTTATAGCAGCCTGAATAAGACAGGTCATAATAAGCCCTCGATACATATTAACTAAGTGCTTTTTTTCTTTTCATTTTGGTGGGGAAGATTGGACCTGAGCTAACATCCGTTGCCAATCTTCCTCTATTTTGTATGTGGGACACAGCCACAGCATGGCTTGATGAGTGGTATGTAGGTCCATGCCCAGGGTCCAAACCAGTGAATCCTGGACCACCAAAGCAGAGTGTGCAAACTTTACCACTATGCCAGCAGGCTAACCCAACTAAGTGCTTTATATGCATTATGTCGTGTGGTATGAATCATTACCACAATCGTATCAAGGAAGGGCTATTAAAAGTCCCATTTGATAAATGCACAACTGTATGTCAGTGTTGACATACCTAGTTAATGGTAAAGTTGGAACTTGAACTCAGGCCATCTGACTTCATAGATTAGACAAAAGAGATGTCACCTTCTACATCATACATGGACCCCCACGTGGCACACCTCTGCATGTTCAACGGTGGTAGCAGCAACTTCAGCAAACGTTGGCATCCCAGTTGCTACTCAGCAGATTGGGAGCGACCAGAGTCTTCTCTAATAACTGCAGTGAGTTGGAGTAGGAGAAGGAAAAATGGTTCCAAGCACTAGACCAAGTTGCTCATGTTCTGGAGGAACATGAGAAAACTGGAGTTCCCAAAGGAAAGAAGGAGCAAATCTCAGGAAACACAAATTTGTGGCTACCTCTGTGCATCCTTTTACCCTAGGCCCGGCTTACCTAAATGTAAATACATATACATGCACAGTTCCTGTTACACGTAAGAACCAAGGTGTTTAGACCAGATATGACAACAAGGATGTTGACTCTCAACACTTTCTCAGTAGAGTGTTGGAAAAACCTGTAACTGGAAGTAAGCTAAACAGCTCTGTACTTGTTCTCCTGCTTGTTCTGGCTCTGATTCACCTGCTGATCCTTTCGAAACTTCATGCCAGTCTTTATCCTAGGTTGTCCCATACAGATTCACGCCAGCTGGGAACTTCCTGGTATGGGGCTACATGTGGAGCTGTCTGGAATTCTCAGTCTCTGTCTACAGTTGTTCAAAGTTCACACTGAAATGCTCAGACTTTTCATCTACGTCATGCTAATTTTTCTAGATATTTCTGTTTCTGTTTGCTACAGTCAGCTCTGGGTATGTGGTATGATTCTCCTTTTACACTCCACAAAATGGCTTTCTTTTTGCTTCCAGTGCTGTGGTGGGAGGGTTTGATTGATGGGCTGCTTTTGGAGGGAAGTTCCAGGTGGAGCGCTTTATGAGGACTCTCCCACTATTTACAGGCAATTTACTTTGGTTATTTGGGGCATTACTCAATGCCATTGCCTTACTCCCATCCCTACCCCCTTATTTATGGTTATTACACAGCCTGAAGCAAGAAATATATTTGCATAGAAAGAGCAAATTGTTAACAGGGAGGGTTTGGAGTCTGATTGCTTTAGAGGCTCGTCTGGACTTTGTTCTTCCAAACTGGACCTTGGGCAAGATACTTAACCTCTCTAATCCTCAATTTCCTTGGCTGTAAAATGGCAATTAAATGACATCTAGCAATAATTCAAAAGCTCCCCCTGCCCTTTCTTTTGCATGTTTTAAACACTTACAAAGAGGTAGTTCTCTTTCTGTTAGTTATTTTTAAAGATCTTTTAAAAAAATTATATTATTGGGGCCATGTTGGCTTATAATATTGTGTAAATTTCAGGTGTACATTATTACATATCAGTTTCTGTATAGACTGCATCGTGTTCACCACCAATAGTCTAGTTTTCATCCGTCACCATACATATGTGCCCCTTTACACCTTTCACCCTCCCCCTACTCTCTTTTTCTCTGGTAACTGCCAATCTGTTCTCCTTATCCATGTGTTTGTCATCCACATATGAGTGAAATCATTTGATATTTGTCTGTCTTTGTCTCACTTATTTTGCTTAGCATAATACCCTCAAGGGCCATCTTTGTTGCTGCTAATGGCACGATTTTGCCTTTTTTATGGCTGAGTAGTATTCCATTGTGTGTATATATATATATACACATATATATATGTGTATATATATATATATACCACATCTTTTTTATCCATTCATCTGTTGATGGGCACTTGGGTTGCTTCCACATCTTGGCTGTTGTGAATAATGCTGCAGTGAACAACGAGTGCATAAATCTTAAAGATCTTTTATATTTTGAGAAAGTAGTGTTGGGAACTAACATTTTTATTTGGGATTGTGAGAAAACTTTAGCTTCTCTGAAATTTAAAGTTCTTTTTGTTCTGTGTTTACCAACTGCTTCTGACAAAGTTAAAAACAATTAAATTTGCTCAGAGATTTCACGGTCTGTCAAGTGATCTTTAGTCTGGTAATGATTTTCTCAAACTAGAATTCTTGAATTTTTTTGGAGATTTTTTTTTTAACAAATGAGAATGAGAAATCTATTCAAAAGGGAGAAGATGTTAGTGAATTAAGAACTAATGGCAGATTTTTCTTTTGTATTGTGGTAAAATATACATAACATGAAGTTCACCATTTTTAACCATTTTTAAGTGTACAGTGCAGGGACAGTAAGTACATTCACAGTGTCATGCAACCATCACCATCATCCATCTCTAGAACTTTTTCATCTTCCCCAACTAAAACTGTACTGGTTAAACTATAATTTCCATTCTCCCCTCCCCCCAGCTCCTGGCAACCACCATTCTATTTTGTAATGGGAGATTTTTTTTTTATCCTTTTGTGAGGAAGATTGTCACTGAACTAACATCTGTGCCAATCTTCCTCTGTTTTACGTGGGATGCTGCCACAGCATGGTTTGACAAGCGGTGCTAGATCTGTGCCAGGATCTGAACCCGTGAACCCTGGGTTGCCGAAGCAGAGCGTGTGAACTCAATTACTACGCCACCAAGCTGGCCCGGAAGGCAGATATTTTTAGGGAGAAAGGAAGCAGGGTGGTGCTTCTATCACCTGTGGCAGGCACTGAATTTCTGCTGCAGGTTTGTGTCATTTCTAAACTATCCCACTGAGATTTGAAACCAGCTGCTCCACATGGACGTCGAAGAGGAACGCCCGGTTTGACCCGAGCACCTGGCTCTATGGAGCCCCAAGTCCTGGCGTCTGACAGCAGCCCCATCCTCTCCTACTGCTTTAGAAAGATGAGTCCTAGTCTCGATATCCTGTCTTAGGCCCTGCTCAGCCTCTGACTCTTCCTTCCAAGCCTTGAATTTCAGGCCAGAGACTCCAGCTGGTTTGACACCTGCCTGCCAACACCAGCTCAGTTTCCACCCCACCAGGAATTTGCCATTCAGCAACCCAACCCTGTTTCCTCCAGCCCCAATACCTGACCTAGTAAAGGCACGCTAGGCCTCCCTCGGGTGCTTATCTGTAAATTGAACAGGGTGAATTAGGTAATCTCAAAGGTATTTCGCCACTCTAAAGTTGTTACTCTCTGTTTAAGACAAACAAAAAGTAGTCCTGACTAATAGGCTAGATAAATTTCTCCCATAGAAATTCCCTCGCCTTTTGGTGTCTGCTTTATTTTGATATAAACACAAATCTTGAAAGCATTATGTTTCCTTTGAAAGTTAGGCCAATGGTCAGCAAGGGGTCAATGAATTTAAGAGAAAGGATAATCTGTTAGTCAGTACAAAGCATTTCATATCCTGAATATAATCCTGAAAATATTGGAGATCTCCTAGGGGCCTCTGGAGGGACTACGTTGTCCTTGCATAAAATGGTTTTGACTTTCAGGCTAATAGAGCCTCCATCCAGGCAAGGCAAGGACCCTGCTATTTGATAGGGCTATTTGCATTTCAAAGCTAATCAGTATTAAATAATCGGCTGGTAAGAGAAGAGTGAGAGGGTCATTGTGTGTATTTTATTATTGTGTAAACTTGGGAAAACAAGCTGAGAGGCTGAGAGAGCTCACTCAAATTCCAGCTGATAAGAAAGGAGCTGCTGTAGAAGGTCTCTTAATGGGTGAGTTTCTCATTTCTTCCAGCAGAGACAGCCGGGAGGGTCACATGACTGCCAGGCTTTAAAAGGAAGCAACAACGAACTGTGGAGAGAACAACTGTATTTATTTCCAATATAGACCTTACACTTAAGGTAAAAGCACTTTTTAAATCTTCAGTTTTCATTTCCCTGTAACTAGATGGTTACTTTTCAGGATTTAACAGTTTGAATTAATAATTGTAGTGTTTCGTTGGTCAGTTCAGATCAAACTTGATTGTAACTCTAATTCAGTGGTTCCTAACCCGGCACATTAGAATCACCAAGGGAAAAGAAAAATATTGTTGCTGATTCCCACCCCAGAGAGTTGATATCATGGATTTGGGGTGGGGCCGGGTCATCAATATTTTTTAGTAGTTCCCAGGTGGTTCTCCTGGGTTGTAGTTTGAGAACCACTGTTCTAATTTCTATCCTGAGCGTGTCTTTCTTCTCTGCAAAAAAGACTTCCTTAACTTTCCCAGTGTCTGTAGCTGTGGTCTCAATTTTTGACTGCACGTCTATTAGTTAAAAAAATTGCAGCGCATGCCAAAGTATCTGTGTATGTGTGTATGTGTTATTTTACTAATATATTATCTATATTGTGAAATGGAGAAAAGGAGACATTTATAGAACTATGAATAATAATCAATATTTTCTTCCCACACCCCTGAGCATCCTTTCAGCCACTCCACCTTTGGAAACTATTGTTTCACAGGATAGAGTCCACAATTCCCTAGCATGGCATTCAAGGTTTTCTCCAAACAGAGTTTTATCTCTCTTATCATTGTTATATACCATACTCTCTCAGGAGTTAATTGATTGATTGATTGATTGATTGTTAATTCCCTACTGTCTTCAGTCCACTTTCCTGGGAAATAGATTCTGAGAAGGAGACTTGCATGTTGAAAGTTTATCAAAGGGTGAAGAAAGTTGGATTGGGCAGAAGATGGAGGAGATGCAGTTGCAACAAAGAGTTTTGGAACTGGGTTGACCCTTCAGAGTTGCCCCACCTTGAGGCAAAGGGGTTAGGTCTCATCTCACATTTCCATCCTCTGTCCAGCATTAAGCATTTATCTGTGCGGGCTGCCACTGGGTAAGGTGGTTCATTTTGAGAGCTAATCCCAGAGAGTGAACCAGTAATGCTGCCATGTGTTGGGGGAATGAATGCCTCAGTCCCGAGACGGGGTCTGGGATGCTTACCTTGGCATCCGCTCTATTCCCTGCATCACGACTTAGCACAGTTGTTCCTCACACTGGAGTATTTTACCGCAGTCTCTGCCCTCAGAAACCTATCATTCCAAGGATGCTCAACATCATTAGCTATCAGGGAAATGCAAATCAAAACTACAATGAGATATCACCTCACTCCCATCAGAATGGCTATGACTAACAAGACAGGAAACAACAAATGTTGGAGAGGATATGGAGAGAAGGGAACCCTCATACACTGCTGGTGGGAGTGCAAACTGGTGCAGCCACTATGGAAAACAGTATGGAGATTCCTCAGAAAATTAAGGACAGAAATGACGCGGGGTCAGTGAGCCGAGGAGTCGAAAGAAAGATTTCTTGGACTCTCAAGATCTGGCAGTAGTGCTCTTTTATTTAGGGAATAGTGTGGAATAGCGTGGGGACAGGACCCATGGGCAGGCAGAGCTGGTGTGTGGGGACAGGACCCACGGGCAGGAGGAGCTGCTGCTGCCCCCGCTGCTGCTGCAAACATGGGTGGAGAGTAAGGCTAAATTTAAGGCATAGGCATGTGAGCCATCTCTTGACAAGACAAAGGAAAGAACATGTAAAAAAGTTAAAATGGTATCAATGCAGGTGGGGTCTGGCCATTGGGTGGCCCCACAACTTTTAGATAAGAATCAAATCGGATTAAGTAAAACCCAGAAGCCACCACCCTAAATCAGTTACATGAGATTGCCAGACAGTAACCAGCTTAAGTCCTTGCCTTCCCCATTGAGAGTTTCCAGAGATAAGGCCATCCCCCCTTCCTCCTGGTGCAGAGGGGGAGGCATGGAGATTTCCTTCACAAATGCAAATGTCTCTCAAAGGGCAAGCAAATTCTGCTCGTCGGAGCCTGCTTCTCATCTGCAGTTTTAAAAGTAACCAGCCTAAAATCCTCATCAATATGATCTCAATCATAAGTAGAAGACAACAGCAGGCAAACACATGGAGACAGAGATTGGATTGGTGGTTACCAGAGGGGAAGGGAGGGAGGGGGAAGGGTGAAAGGGGTGATCAGGCATGTGTGTGAGGTGATGGATGGTAATTAGTCTTTGGGTGGTGACCATGATGTAATCTACACAAAATCAAAATATAATGATGTACACCTGAAATTTATATAATGCTATAAAACCAATGTTACTACAAAAACAGCAACAAAAAGAAACATATCATTCCCTGGAGGCCCAACACAAAATATCACCAGCTCCTAGAAGTTTCTCTATACTCTCCTGCTAGGAGTAGCACCAGGAGACACAGTGGGGAGAGCAAGGCCTGTGGTGTCACAGACGCCTGAGTTTGAATACTGGGTTTTAGGGACCTTGCCCGGGTGTATTATTTAACCTCTCTGACTGGAGCTATTAAGACCTACTCTACAGGATTCTTATAATGATTAATTGAAATAATCACTCAACCAATGATATTTTGACATTTTCTTTGTAGCTTTTACTTTCTCATCTCGAAATTTCTGTACTTTACTTCAATGATTTAAATGGCAAAATAAAAATAATTAGGATGCTGTGGTGATTTTTCATATAAGTTTATTCAGTTAAAAATCCTAGGCTTTATTCTGAGGTAATATTTTCTACTTTTATAAAAAATTGATTTTTTTTCAGCTTTATGAAAATCTGATAACAGATTAACAGATTTTTTGTATAACAAATTCGTGGTGGTGATGAGGATTTTAGGCTGGTTACTTTTAAAACTGCACATGAGAAGCGGGCTCTGAGGACTGGAATTTTGCTTGCCCTTTTGAGAGACATTTGCGTTTGTGAAGGAAGGGGGGATGACCTTGTAGGGACCTGAAATTGGCCACCCCAGGATATGTCTCTTTGGCATCGGGATTGTTTGGGGCTGATTGCTTTTGATAAACTGGGACAGGGAAGGAGGCTCTTGGGAATGGAACTTGCCCTTGTTGGGACACATTTACATGTGTAAGGTAAATCTCTATCTGTAAAAGGTGCCTCCCTCTCTGTACCAGGAAGAAGAGAGATGACCTTGTCCTTAGAAACTCTTAATGGGGAAGGCAAGAACTTAAGTTGGTTGCTGTCTGGCAATCTCATGAAACTGATTTAGGGGGTGGCTTCTAACCTTTCTAACCTTTACTTAATCCAATTTGATTCTTGTCTAAAAGTCATGGGATCACCCAATGACCAGACCCCACCTGCACTGATACCATTTTAACTTTTTTTTCATGTTCTTTCCTTTGTCTTGTAAAGAGATGACTCACATACCCATGCCTTATAAAATTAGCCCTAACCGTCAACTCGAGGCAGCAGCAGGAGCTCTGACTGCCTGTGGGTCTTGTCCCCATGCACCAGCTCTGCCTGCCCATGGGTCCTGTCCCCATGCCAGCGGGGGCAGCAGAAGCGGCAGCAGAAGCTCTGACTGCCCATGGGCCCTGTCCCCATGCTATTCCATACTATTCTCTAAATAAAAGAGCACTACTGCCAGATCTTGAGAGTCCAAGAAATCTTTCTTTCGACTCCTCGGCTCACCGACCCCGCATCAGTGGTATAATTTATGTAAAAATAGATTTTGAAGTAATTTTAATTAGGAAAATAAGCTTTTGTCATATATATATACATATATATATTATTAACTTTTTAAAAATTATCGGTTCATGAAATTAAAAAATGTGCACTGCATCTTAACACTGGCCCCTTATGCTAATATATATTCTTATGTATATTAGCATATATAATATATATGTTATTAATAATATATGCTATTAATAATAGCATAATATATATGCTAATATAATATGTATGTTCATTAACTTCTTTCATAAAGATCAGTTATTTCTTGGGCACCTATAATATAGAAAACATTTTTTTTTTTTTTGAGGAAGACTAGCCTGGAGCTAACATCTGCCAATCCTCCTCTTTTTGCTGAGGAAGACTGGCCCTGAGCTAACATCCATGCTCATCTTCCTCTATTTTATATGTGGGACACCTGCCACAGCATGGCTTGACTAGCAGTGCCATATCCACACCTGGGATTTGAGCCAGCAAACCCCAGGCTGCCGAAGTGGAATGTGCTCACTTAACCTCTGCACCACTGGGCCGGCCCCTAGAAAACATTTTAATCAGTGTTACTCTTAGCGCCGCTTAAATAGCTTAGATAAATACAGCCAGTGGTTAACATAGGTTAGCATAAGGGAAGCCATCTTATAGAGGGGAACTATGCTGGGACTATAACAAGACACCCCCCTTTCCTTGTTAGCAAAGCTGTAGTTTGCATGTAGCTTAGAGAAGTACACGTCTACTTGCTCTGCTATTTTTGTAGCCTTGGCTTATACATAGACCTCCTTATTCCCATAAGGCAATAACTGTGTTCTTTCAGCCTTTCTAGGGATGTAACGACCTTCGGGAAAAACCTCTGCTGACATCTGTCACCGGTGAAGAGAGAAAGGGATGCTCTGTAGTCTCAAGGACTGCAGCTCCAGATGCTCAACATCCCGAGACCCCCTTTTCAGGCCATTTGCCCTATACAACTGCTTCACAATTTTGTAGTTTTAAGATGGTTCTTTAAGACACCAGTCCACCATCTTCCCCCTTGCTGGCAGGCTGTAATAAAAAGCCCCTTTCTCTCCTACCACCTTGCCTCCTGACTGTTGGCTTGTCTTGCCGCGAGTAGAAGACCCCCTAGAGAAACAAAGATAGATGAAATGGGATCCCTATTCTCGAGGAGCTTAAAATTATTTAACTGATGAATAACTAAACAATCATAAATATTTCAAATAACATTTAAAAGGAAAAATAGAGATCTGTAGGAAACAGTTTAGATCATTTATGTAATTGGTACTGATATTTCTGAATGTACCAAAGAATTTAACAGGCCCGGCTGGTCTAGAGAACGTCTCTCAAAGGATGGATAGGATTAGGGCTATAAACTCCCTGATTAGTAGAGACGGATCTGGTATAACTTCGTATCTCTCACATTGCTTAATATATACTAGGCCCTCAGTTAAAAGAAGAGTGATACACCCACACATGTATATAATTTAAATACGTGCTGAGTGTATAGATTGGGTAGCTGGAGAAGAATGGGGAAGGCTCCCAGGCCAGTGCTAGGGTTTGAGGGAAACTGCAGAGGTGACAGAGTTCAAGACATGCTGGGAGGTCAGAGAGAAAGTATTTGGTGGGAGTGGAGCAATTTTACTGGAACAGAATGGGCGAGAGGATCGGCAACAGAAGGTAGGTTGAGGGAGACTTTGTAGACCTTAAATAATACATCTTAGGTTTTCCCCTGTATGAAACAGGGAGGGTGCATGAGACCTTGTGAAGGGAACACAAATCTGAGCATGAGTAACTTCCACGTCCCAAGACTTACATGGGTTAAGTCTGAATTCCTCAACCAGACTTCCATTCTTCCATTCTTCAATGCTCAAGTGTCTCTTCCTTCCTTATTCTCCATGTTTTCCCATTCCTCTGACATTCCCATGGTCACTATACACGCTTGCAAATCCCCCACTTGGAATTAATCTTCCCATAGTCTCAAAGCTCTCCATGTAATCCATGGTTAGAGCTGTTGCTAGTTTGCCATTTGAGTCAACGTGGTCTCAGGAACACGACTGTATGCATACACAAAGGAGCACAGATAACGCATTGTTCGTCTTCGGATCTGCCTCCCTCTGGCACTCAGTACAGACTAGGACTGAAGGAAGGTTATTTGAAATAGTGATCTCTTATTATTGACTAGTGAAAATTCTAAATGTCGTTTCCTCTTACAAGCTGACATTAGTACACATTACAAGGAAGCCCAACATAAAAAGCTGCTTAATGGATGGTAAGAGGCACCGTGATATAAATTCCTCTACTGGAAGTATTATTTCTACCTGAATCACAAGGTCTTTTTGAACCAACTAACATAAGTAGTTATGTCAAGTCTCATGAATGTTTGCTAGAGGTGAAAAAGAATGAAGACACAAGTCAGTTACTATTAGGAACAAAGTTTTCTTACTGAAAGAACGTTTTCACAAATGTTAAGTAAATAAACCTCTCATGATTGGATTTTATGATCTCCCTGACTTGGTTGTATTAAAGAGAAGCAATTTTTCTGTTGTTATAGCTCGATAAAAACATTAGAAGAGGGGCTGGCCTGGTGGCACAGCGGTTAAGTTCTCAAGTTCCGCTTCTTGGTGGCCCGGGGTTCGCCGGTTCGGATCCCGGGTGCGGACATGGCACCGCTTGGCAAAAGCCATGCTGTGGTAGGCATCCCACATAGAAAGTAGAGGAAGATGGGCGTGGATGTTAGCTCAGGGCCAGTCTTCCTCAGAAAAAAGAGGAGGATTGGCAGATGTTAGCTCAGGGCTACTCTTCCTCAAAATAAAAAAATCAAAGATATGGTCATGATAATTGAACTTGACTTTTTGTCATTTATGAAGGTTGGGTTGTCAGCTGTGTTAGGAACAGGGCTGGACTTTATTCCACTGGTTGATAAGCGTTATCAACATTTTACAAGATAGAAACTTTATCTGAAAGCCAGCATTTTTATTGCCTCGTTCATAGTTGGTTTTGAATCTCTTCCTGTTTTGTGTTTACGCTGATTACTAAGTGTACTTTCATGTCAGGGATAGAGAGAATCATTGGATGTTGAGAAAGCCACCAGACAGAGGCCAAGAAAAACAGAAACCCGGGCTATTCATTAACAAAAAACCAGCAGCTATGAATGAATAATACAATGAATGCACAATAATCTACTTGTTTTGAAAAATGTTTATTAATCATTCCCAGAGGCCCTGGGCTAGATGACTATGTCATAGATTTTTTTTATCCCCTTAGGCAAATATACACCCACGTGGAATGCCCTGCTAGAGCTCAACTCCAGAGAGTATAAAGAGAATAGTGCCCTCTGATGTTGGGCATCATGGCAGAACTGACCACCATAGAAGGTAGTCAATAATGACACTTGAATGAAGGAATGAACGAATCAAAAGTTTCATTCAGAATGCTAAGGCAGAAGACAGTTTGACAAAAGCCATTTTTGAAACCAGGGCTGTTATTAGATTAGTCTAAACAGTGACACCTGAATAAATATGACAGTGCCATATTAGCCATACCAGACACTTAAGAAAATGTGCCTCTCCAGGAAAATCAGTTAAAAAAAGAATAATTCCACATAAAATCACTTACAGATGTGCTTCCTGCTGGAAATACCGGGGACAAATTCGACATCAATGAGAAGTTTAGAGAATTCTTTCTGAATATCGGTGCTCTCTTCACACACTGCCCTCCTCCACACTCCCATCCTTGGGGCACAAGAGCTGCCCTTCAGTCTGAGTAAGTAAGGAGTGTTAGTGAGTCATATTAGCTATTTTTAATACACAGACATGTGACAGAGCTATCTGATAGAAGATTTACTTGCCAGCCTTTGGATTCAAGAAAGTCCAGGTTTTGAGCCAGATTCTGGAGTGAGGCAGAAATGGGGACTAGAAAGAAAAGCTTGTAGGCTTTTCAGACTAGAACAGAGAGAATGCAGATATAAAACTAGGGTTTAATTTGAGTAGTAATTTGTTGATTTAGGAAGATCCAAAAGATAGAGAATTAATGAAAAGATTAATCATGGGCCTCTTTTTTTTTTTTTTGTGAGGAAGATTAGAACAGCTTGATAAGTGGTGGGTAGGTCCACACTTAGGATCAGAACCAGTGAATCCAGGGCTGCTGAAGTGGAGCGCAAGAACTGAAGTGGAGCGCATGAACTTAACTGCTGGGCCACCAGGCCAGCCTTATGAACCTAATTTTAAAAGTAAAGAAACTTTATTTTGGAGAGGATGTGGAGAAAAGGGAACCCTCATACACTGGTAATGGGAATTCAAACTGGTGCAGCCGCTATGGTGTACAGAGTTCATTGACTACCCCCACATCTTCCAAGGACACTGGGCCTGGGCCCCACACAAAGGAATGTGTCTGGACTTGGGTCCAAAGATGGCCACTTCGGCCTTGACTCTAAGGCACAAGTTACAAAGAATATGTCCTGTGTCATGTTCCTTGTCTGGGCTGGCCACCCCAACAGGCACCTGACAGGACTTTAAAAAACATCCCATCCATGTGAACAAAAAAGATAAAAACACCCCATGCATGGGAACAAGAAGAAATAACTCGAAATATCCAAATGTCTAAAACCCTGAATCAGAACCCAGAGAAAGCTTGGGATAAAAGGGAGTCACAGGCATAGAATAATTGGAAGTCTCGCTAAGGAAAGGACGCTTTGCCTCAGACCTCCCGCCCACCGTACAAACTATTGGGACTTCCCCGGCTGATTGTGGGGTGGGTGTTGTAAGTACCGATTTGTTGTTCCCCTTTTATCCCTGCTCCTTGTTGTGTTTCCCTTCATCAATAAACTTTGATTGCTTAAACAACCAAGTAGCCTTGGCGGTACCTGTCATTCCTTGCCCTTTGCTGCTGTGGGCAACACAGGGAAAACAGTATGGATATTTCTCAAAAAATTCAAAATAGAAATACCATACAATCCAGCTATCCCACTACTGAGCATTTATCCAAAGAACATGAAATCAATGATCCAAAGAGATTTATGTACCCCATGTTCGTTGCAGCGTTATTCACAATAACCAAGATGTGGAAGCAACCCAAGTGCCCTGCTACAGATGATTTGATAAAGAAGATGTGGTATTATATATATATATATATATATATATATATACACACAGTGGAATACTACTCAGCCATAAAAAAAGACAGAATCGTCCCATTTGCAACAACGTGGGTGGACCTTGAGGGTATGATGTTTAGCGAAATAAGCCAAACAGAAAAAGACAAATACTGCACAATTTCACTCATATGCGGAAGATAAAAAAATACACAGATAAAGAGAAGAGATTAGTGGTTACCAGAAGGGAAAGGGGTTGAGGAGTGGGCAAAAGGGGTAAAGGGGCACATACGTATGGTGATGGATTAAAAACTAGACTACTGAGGGTAAGCACAATGAAGTGTATTCAGAAACTGATAAATAATAATGTACATCCGAAATTACACAGTGTTATAAACCACTGTGACCTCAATAAAACTACTTGAAAAAAAAAGTAATGAAACTTTGTGCTAAGAAGCAAAGCCATGAGACTATATTAATCCTTCAGTGTGTGAGCAGAGAAGTGCCTAAGGAGACTGGATAACTATTATTTCTGTGCTTAGTTCTGGGAATTTATTTGTGTATTTGGTGCCTTGTTCCACTGATAATTTAGGCAGAAATGGTAGGTAACTTAGAACAACACCAACCTGATGCAAACGCACCCCCTCAGCCATCTCACACCTCTAGAACCCAGATAGGAAGCTAGAAAAAACCCCAAGTTTCTCAGCATGTAAATAGAAGTTACAAGATTCATGCGTTAAGTCAGCATTTTCAAAAAGCCACTCAGGCCCTCCCTCATTATTTATTTACGTTAGTTTTAGACATAATTATAATAAGCTCGGCTTTATGGGTTTATCTAGCCCACAGGAGACCAGCGTGGCACACTGCTGCACATTTCTTTGGCATGAACAAGTATACAAAGGGCTTTCATATCCATTATTAGCCGCTCGAGGGAGAAACAGCAATAACATCAAGAAGTGGCAGTTGACTGCCTGACAGCTCCAAGCCGACAGAGGAATTCTAAATGGCAGGCACGTAAACCACAAGAATACACTAGTCTGCAGCCGTGATTAGAGAGAGAGAGAAAGGCAGGCATCACACTTCCCAGGAGGAATCGCCATAGTCCAGACTCGGAGCCCCAAACGAATACACAGGTCATCCAGCCCAGCCTCCCAGTCAGCACACGGCTCACCCCCGTCGTTTTCCTCTTACGTAGTCGGATGGCCTCTGCTTATGTGTTGCCAGTGATGAGATTCACTCCAGTTAACAAGGAATCTGTTGTTGATTAATTTCATGTGTCATCTTGGCTGGGTCATGGTACACAGATATGTGGTCAAACATTATTCTGGATGTTTCTGTCAGGGTTTTTATGGATGTATTAACATGTAAATTGGTGGACTTTGAGGAAAGCAGATTGCCCTCCACAATGTGGGTGGGCCTCATCTAATCAGTTGAAGGCCTGAATTGAACAAAAGACTCACCTCCCTTGAGCAAAAAGGGATTCCACAGCCAATGGCGTTCACACTTGAACTGCAACACTGGCTCTTCTCTGAGTCTCTAGCCTGCTGGCCCGCTGCAGATTTTGGAGTTGCCAGCCTCCATAATCACGTGAACCAATTTGTTACAGTAAATCTGTTTCTATCTATCTATCTATCTATCTATCTATCTATCTATCTATCTATCTATCTATCTCCTCTTGGTTCTGTTTATTTAGAGACTCCTGAAGACAAATCTCTTTTAAAATTAGGACACTATACATTGCGTAGCTCTGATTGTGTCATTACTTTGTTAAAACTTCTTTTTTTAGAAAAAAATAGGCTATTTTTTGGGGGGTGGGGTGGGGAAAATTTGCTCTGAGCTAACATCTTGCCAGTCTTGCTTTCTCTCTCTCTCTTTTTCCTCCCCAAAGCCCAGGGCATAGTTGTATGTTCTAGGTGTAAGTTCTTCTATTTGAGCCTCCACAACAATGTGGCTACTGACAGAGGAGTCGTGTGGTTCTGCTCCTGGGAGCTGAACCCCGTCTGCTGAAGTGGAGCACACTGAACTTTAACCACTAGGCCAGCAGGGATGGCTCAAAAATTCTCGATAGAAAATGCATTTTTTATATAGCATTATTTAAACCAGGCCACCAAAGCAGAGTACACAAACTTAACAGCTATTCCACTGGGCCAGTCCCCCCAATTGCCTGTTTAAAACAACCTAATATCCTGAGCATAGCTCTCCAGGTCTACCATGGTCAGGTTCCATTTGCTGTTCCACCTCTCTTTGCTTCCCACCTCACACACTCTACATTCCAGCTGCAGTCAGTTAATATCTCTTTTGGGAGGCCTGTGCTTCGGTTTGCTCATCTTTCTATTACCTGTGAAACTAAAGAGGATCTTGCAAGTAAATTGTGAACCAAAGTGAATTATAGAGACGAGTTCCTTTTGTATTGAACCAAAATCTGCTTCCCTATAACAATTTTTACCCACTGGTCCTGGTTCTCTGCTCTAGGTATTCATAATTTATATCTAAGGCGTCTTACCAAGAGAACACTACCAACATTTAACTATTTATCTTCTCTAAGTTTTCTCTTTGTAAGTAGAGCCTCTCTAATTCACTCAGTCACTTCCCTGACTGGACCTTATTTCAAGACCATTTACCGTCCTAGCTGTCCTGGAATGCTCTGCTTCTCGCCAATATTCTTCCTAAAGTGGGACGTGCAGTGGTACATCAGAGTTCGGGAATGAGATGAGTAGTCAGAAAGCAAGCAGCCTCGTACTCTGTGTCTTTTCTGAGTTTTGTATTTGCATGTGGCCCTTCATTGCCTTCACTTCCTCGGTGGTTGAGTCACAGCTCATCGTGATAATGAGAGATATTTATCATGGTGCCGAGTCATCAATAAGGCATTGCGTCATATTCAGCACACCCTGCTTAAGAGGACAGGGAAGCATTTAATGAAATTTATATTTTTATGTAAAATAGGTACAAATTCTTTCTAAAATGGATGTTTCTTAAAGAGGTGCTCACACAAGAATCTGGAGCACTAAATTCCAGGAAAAAAAACCCAATTCCCCCAAAGATCTGGTGAGACAACGTTTCTTTGTGCTATGAATCAGAATGAATCCAGAGAAAGCTTTTTAGAGCACAGCAGAAATCCTGAAGATGAGAGATAGACTGTGTGTGCCAGTGATTTCAAAGCTTGTTTTTGAAATACCCTGGAAGATTTAGAATAAAAAACGTTGTGTGGTTTGCCAAAGGTCATTCAAGAAGTCAGTGACACAGTCTCAAATCCCAGGGCAGGGTCTGAAATGTTCAAAATACAATGAAATGTAAGTATTTTACCTCTAAAAAATTGTGCATTTAGGAGACGGTGTGTTTGTGTGAACAAATGATTGGTGTGTACTGAGTTTGGTGTTATGTCTCTGCAAATTCTTTTTTATTTCTTTAGTTGACTTACCTATGTAACAATTCATTTTCTATTTCCTACCAGAAGCTGTTCTTTCTACAACAATTTGAAATGAACAATAGCTACCAGTGAGCACCTTTAGCAGTAGTTCAAGTGACCACAATTTTATCCTTTACCTTCTCCGTCATCTGTTCTCTTCCAAGCAACAAAGCTGCTCTCTTCTAGTAGTATTCTGATCGCGTTACTGCCCTTCTCAAAAGCCTCAGGAGCTCCCAAATGTTTCTGAAATTAAATGAAGATTTGAGTAATGGACTTTGAGACCCGCTTACTAATTGACCTTCCTTTGTCACACAAGGCTCTAATTTTCCTCTGGTGTGGTGTTTCCACCCCAGTCAACAGAGGCTGTCTACTTTCCCCCAACAAGACTCACCACCTCTAGAGTTTAAGGATGTGCTGCTTTCTAAGAGCTCTCTCCGGGGCTATGAATTTTCCCAAATGGATTAAGTTTGACAGCTGAAGTGGGCTCATTTACTTGATTGCACTGCATTCCACTAAAAATGCAGTGGAATCAAGCTTCAGAGAAGGTGGCTTGAGGACCCTGCTTTATTGGAAAGCAAGTTCTGGAATGAACACCTGTGTTTTTTGATGGGGATTTTTAGGCTGCTTAATTTTAAAATGGCTTATGATGAG